TAAATATATATATCGTGCACTCTTATTCTAGCGCTGTTATTTTCGAATCTCTGCAAATCAGAGAGAATGCAAGTGCGACGTGCTTATGCGCCTGTCTTAGTATTACGTGAACAACGAGTAGTATGATTTGAAACGGTAAACCTACATCGCTTAGTAAAATAGGGCAGGGAGTTGCGATAATTGCATTCGTTGTGCCGCTTGAGTAGTTCGTATCTATTGAATGCCACTTATCTTTGCGAATGATTTGTACTAAGAAGTATGTAGTAGTATTGAGGCTCCACATCCACTAGTAAACGTGGAGTACCATTATACACTGATAAGCGAAATTACATCCGAGTAAGTTTCAGATATACACGTTGTATTTCATGTTACTCATACTCACTTTTTTGACGCTAATGCATCCCTTCACCATTCCCTCGGTACAGGTGGGCGGTGATGAGTCTCCCGACAGTCAAGCCAAAGCGGCGGAAGAGTTGGCGGCGATGGTGTCGAGACTAACGGCTTAAAAGCAGTATGGGGTTCAATACCTTCACAAGTACGCCTGGTGTCATAGGGTACAGCGTATCATATATACCTTTGCGAGGACTTTACCCGGCTGGCGGTAAATGACGTAGAGTGTAGTGTATGTACCCCATCGCGCGACTCTACGCTTTAAGTATACTTCTCTATACCTGCGCTCGGTCAGTGGTTTGTCTGCATCAGGCCGCCCCCGGCTCTTTCGCTTGTACTGTTGGATATCGAGATTCAAGGCGTATGGACAGGCTACGTACGATACTCCTGTAGGTCGATTCTACATGGTAAGCGAATGTGTCAAGTGGTTATGACAACGTTCTGTGCGCATCGGGAGGGTGCCTTTCGGGGTTAGAGCTGTGTACCCATTGCTACTCTGGCAGCTAAGTCATCGGTTTTCGGTCTGGGGTCAACCAAGTTTACTCTCGAAGTACAACTGGGTTGTAATCGGGAACAAACCAAGTTTATACCAACCTCAACTGACCACTTCACCACTAGTTTTGGTGGGCTGTCACACTACCTCGGTTGGCCCCCTATCATGCCTGAGCAATCTGTACCGAGTGAATGTGTTACGGGCACATGGCACCAGGGCCACACCCTGCGGTCTATTGCACATACCCTGGCCACACCGGTGACACTGTGGCTCCCTATTGTCAGATGCTACAGCGTGATCTCTCATGTATATGTATGCCTGCATAGCGCGGTTTCGGCTGTCCTCTTGGATAGTGCATGTACTCTGTTGACCACAAAGAGGCGATAAGGACATCTGCTAGGCTACAAGTAAGTACGGTCAATATCAGATAGGCATATTATCGTTATACATTTGCGGTTACGCATCCGAGCTTCACGACTGGACGACACGCCAGCAGTACACGTTGGAGGTAGACATTGGGGGATAACATAACATGGTGATATCGTCAAGGAGCGTTAGCAGCGGTTAGTGTGGAATATATATCTCCCAGGCGCTCCACTCGTGTTCTCTACTCTTCGTAGTATAATCGCGTTCTATGCAATCCGCACCGAATGAGACGTCTGGGGACCAACTGGTAGCCTACGTGCTGTCGTCGGGGAAAACCGGTGCATGTGCAGATGTGTCTGTGAAATGGGCCAGTCCTTGCAATGCAGAGTGGCGGGTGTCGGTGCATATACTCACGCATAGATGCCGGGGGTTGGTTGGTCAAGGTACTTGCCAGAGATGTCAGCCGCGCTCATGCTAGACGGGATTGTTAAGATATCATACCTTGCACCACATGTACAAAGAGTTAGCCATACAGACCATTTCGTGATAGACTCCAAAAGCGCATTGCAACTATCAGCAAATATTACAGTCTGATACTCGTATGCAAGTATACAGCTATACGCCGCGAGGGACTGATGTATTCCCAGGCTAAATAATGTAAAGTTTATTAATAAAATTAAAGGTGATTTGGGCTTCGATTCCAGTTTGAACTTTGAATTAATATGCATTAAAGTTGATTTGAATTAGCTTAGTTTATTAACTTGACTAGGGTGGAGGGAGGATAGATTGGCATGTCTATATGCACTTGAGAAGGACTGTATTAAATCACCAAAGCTCGTGTGCGAGGATATCGTTCGACAGCCCTTCAATTTCACCGACACTCTGGCCGTTCGGGGGTGTATAACTTGAATATATTGCCCAATATGCATGACCAACACATTGAATCGTGCAACAATTTTTATTGAATGCCTTTACACTTGAGTAACTGCATGGTCGAGAGGGCTGATATAAGTTTACGGAGCACTTAATAATAGTCGGGCATAATTTTTAATATCGACCGCCAAAGAATATCACAACTCGCAGCGATTGTTCGCACCAGACCCATACCCTATTGCCCTATCCACTACGCATTGAGGCCACATTCGGTCCGACACTCTTGAGTCTAGTTTAGATAGTTTGTAGTTGTAGTTCTCCTTTATCCTCACAATATGCTATAGGTGATATCTAGCAACAAAAGTCCATCAATTCCGCTCTAGTACCCACCTTCTATGCTTGCCGAACCTTAAGGTCAATGGGACAATACCGCTTATATGAGCAAAGTAAAAACCATAATGGCGTTTCATATTGACATACACTACTTCTCTGAGCGCTTGCGGTTGATAGACTTTTCTTATTCCAGGAGTATGCTATATACATACGTTGTATACTAATACTGTGCAATGCTCCCATATACCATAGCACAAGCTCACGCTGCTTGGGAAGTGGTTGAAAGTGCCTCTCACTCAGACACTGGATGTTGAACCAACTCGTATACCGTATGATTCAAAAATTGCTAACTTAGGCCGGAATAGTCCTCGACATTGACCATTTTCATCATATCCGCATGCGTTGTAGTATGGCATCTCCAGGTGTTAGTTCATGTTGACCGGACAGTTGCCTCTGATTGTGTGTTGAGCTTATAGCGAACCTATTCCATGTTGGTCAATCATCCTCTGTCTAGTGCCAGTTAAAAGTCTCTTGATTATACAGTATGTAGTATACAATAACCGTGCACATATCTAGAATTGGTAGTATAGTGATGGAAGTATGTCTATTTCCGTCTATCAATCCGAACTTAGAAAACGGCAGCTAGATTTAACCTACCATACGCCGCTATAATGATCCTGCCCAAGGCCCCAAGAGAATAAAAATATTGATACGCTGCTGCATTCTAATTGCTACCATTAAGAATCACCACCACAACTATACTCTGAAGTTGCCTTCTCAATTCCATTGTTTTAATGTTGCAAAGCTGTACAATCTAATCCTTTTCATAAGTTATTCATGTGGCATCATAGGACACACTGCAAGGCTATAGACCAATGCGTGACTTGCATTATGCAGAGAGATGACTGATATGTTTTCATTCTGAATGTACCCACATTTATTTGCTTCTTTTCTTCATTCGGTATGCAATGTTCAATGTTACTATAGCTCTTAACTGATAATCACATTTATAGATACGAAGTCAGCAACTCTTAATACAATGCAATATCGGTATATAATATTATCCTTATTATTCATGCCTCGTATGTAGGTAGTTGCATATACTCATCGCACCATCAGCCACCCGACCACCCGTCATGATCTGTATTTTAACTTGCCTTCGTACAAATGTTTATCCGTATGACATACGAATATGAATTTGAAGCTATAAATATTTCCTAGAAAAATCAAAGTCGGGACATACTGACAACGTACATGGGCCACACACGCCAACACTTTCCTGATTGTTTCATTCATTGCTATTTGATACAGATAATACAGCTTTTATCAAGCCGTCGGGGTTGGGTGTGGCCGCTACCGCGCTGACCACAACGCCACAATCTCTGAGTTTTTGTGCCGTGGTGGGTCCGATGGCTGCAAACTTCGCATTTGCCTGGGGTGAAGATTGGGTATTCAAATTTGGATTTGTATTAGGTTTGTCATTTGTAGATTTTTAGCAGAGATAGAGAACAAGTGTGCAATGACGGCTTAAAAAAGCCATTATATGCTACTATAACAATCGTGAGACATGAAACTATATTGGTAGCCAAAACGCGCACTCCAATCGAGTCTAAGGTAGCAGTAATAACGAACCGCTACAGAGGCTAACCAACCCCTGCTCCGCACATGGCGAGGAATACACGCAGCCTTACACACTACAGACTTTACGGAAACAAGTCACGTGAGTCCGGAAGCCATAAAGCCTAAAATGTTAAACCGTAAAACCGTAAAACCCAGCCCCTAATCTATTGTTATGTACTGAACACAGGCAAACATACCGACAAAACCACGTAAGGGAGCACATTCCAAGCAGAATTCGACCCCACGTGAGCCAAAGACACTAACCGACACACGATTTGATACTACATCCAGATCCTTACCCCGACCATGGCGCTGAGCAGATACAACATCAAACATAACACACCTTGGGAAGGAAATCTAGACAGAACTCGACCCCAGACGGACTGAAGAACACCAACCAATCCACTGGCTTGTCCGCACAAGCTTTCCTGAGGGCATACGCTATGTCGGGATTTCGGACCGTTTTGTACCTATCGTATACCGCACAGTCAGTCGTTCGCCGATTAGGAGAATAAATCCGCGCGCAACAATACTACAGTGTACACAGCCTCAAGCATTGACCACACTAAGACGACAGCCATGTAAACTTACACAGTGATCATCTGATGCGTGCGCAACAATACTACAGTGAACACAGCCTCAAGCAATCGACCACACTACGACAACAGCCATGTAAGCTTACACAGTGATCATCTGATGC